TCCGTTAGTTGTGTTTCGCGATACTTCCACCAAAAATCTAGATGTTCCCAAAGTTACTTGTTGAAGATATCCGACGGCTGACGGGAAGACTGTTTTCGAGCAGTGTGGAACGAGAATGATTATTAGTTATGTGTCACCTGGAGGATCTTCGAATGGTCTATACGCGCGATACAATCGAGGTAATGTTGGTCACGACTTCAGTTCCGTAGGATTTTTCGTCAGAGATGTTTTAAAGGGAATGTCGTTGTAAAGAGAGCGATGGCTGGAAAACAGAAATGAAGTCTCGCTATTCGAAGGCTAATTTCAGCACTTCATCAAACTGAGGCTTCCGATAGTTTACGTTGATACCGTTCATTTGACGGCGTGAAGTCAACTTTTAGTCAGTTGTCTTTTTTTGAATTATGAAATTGAAAGGAATGGAATTTCATTGTTTTCACGGCAAAGAAAGTAAGAGAGATGGTGGAAAATAAGTTTCGTGAATTTTGTGTAATTGTTCGCTACCTGGCAATACGAAAGTGGGCCAAGGGCCAGCTTGACTGACCTGCTTATCACAGCACAGTGAAGCGCGCAACGCACTTGCGGACCGCGTTCCCGGGCGGCCAATCGTGTGCTGACAGTGTCCGACGGCGAGGAACCGTCACAGCGCTACAAGCGAAAAACGACAGTCAAGCGGTGCTGTATTGATTTATCGCGGTACGAGTTAAACAATTATGTCATTTGTAGGTACTACTCGCATGACTATCCTTCTAACAACGCTTTCAGAGTCGGTCACCGCCCTGAAGTGAGTTTCGAATCAGCAACATTCTTAGAGAAAAGTGTTATGAGGCGAAAATGTTGTTACAAAATACTGTTTGGACCATGTTAGATAGAGGTGAACGTCTTCTGGATGGGGACGATATGGGGATCTACGTTAGTCCATGGGCCATTTACTGAGCGATGAACACTGGCGAGGACCAGGTAGCCGAGCGCGCGCCGCGCACGCTTGGATGACCATCGATGGAAGCATTGCAAAATCCATTAATAGGGTGTGGCTGGGCTGTGATGATAGCTAGAAGCAGCTGGTGTAGTAACAAAATTGCTTCGTAAATTTTTTTTCGTCTTGGATTCAATTATTAAAGCATTCCCCCTCCCCCCCTCCCAAAGAAAAAAAAAACCACGCCGCCGTAGATATTTAGCCAAAACTCCACGAGCTCTAGATCGTGCCACATGAGCTGTAGAACGTGCAAGGGCGATCGTTCTTAAAGGCCTTGCAGCCAAGGTCTGTCCTATCGTTGTTACTTTTCGAAAATTTTTTACGACAAATTTGTTTTACGGACGCCTCCCCCACGTGGATTTGTATTAGCTCTTTTCATACCTTCCAACATCTAGTTCCATGCTTCACGTTGTCAAAGACCAGCCTATCTTTCCTCCAAAAATTGCCCGTAGAGGGTGGTATATAGTCACATCTTGAACAGTGATACCTCAAAAATTTCACCTATTTCCACCACATATTCATCTTAACACATTTTTACCTATAATCTCCTCGCTCTCCTCGCTACTAACCCACGAAAATCTAAAAAAATATTTCAAACACAGCTCAAACCCCCACGGTGATTTCGAGGGCGCTAAAGACTAAGCGAACCAGCCCCGACATCCCCCCCCTCCGTAGCAAACTTCACCAGATTGTACGACCGCCGTTGTTACGCGAACATAGTAGGTTGACACCATTGAACTTGCAGCTGTCGCCTGTACTATGGTTAATATCTGTTCTCGCGTATAGAACAGAATTTCGCTTCTGTCCTATAAGTACGTTTGTTCCGCGTAAATAATGAGGCATTTAACATACTTTGAAACAATTAAGACATTCTAATTCTGTTTTGTAAGTTCACTGGTGTCAATCATGGCCTCCTACAATGAGGATTCCATTTGGTTGCTACTGTATTTTGTCATCGTGATCAAAATATTTGAGTAGACCATTATGAGTTCTACATCATTTCTACCTTATATTTATTGTTCCCTCCACGAATATGTCCTATACTTTTGGACATCGGTGTATTAAATACATTCACCATCTATGCTCTTGATATGGGTAACTAAACTATACTTAAACATAGATTTCCAACGGAAAAAGCTCCGCCTCACATTACACAAAAAGATACCTTAGCCCTCTATTCATGAAGCATAGCAAAGAACGGAACAAACTTAAGTTAGATAATAATAACTAACCAAAAAAAAACTGATTCATATTTTGCAGGAGAAATTCTATTACGGTATCGTTTTCTGTGGTAATGAAGGCGGAGCTTTTTTTCCGTGGAAGATTCGTTTAAAGCGAGGGATCACGATGAGTTTGGACTGGGTTCATAGTGGAAGTGGAGATGCTGAATAATGCCCCAGTGGCGAAAAAAGCAAAGAAATCCGTCAAGAAGGCGCAAAATGGGACCCTTTCTTTGCCCGTTGACCTCCGATAATGGACGAGCTAGCAACCAATTAGGAGGTCGTTTGCACATGTTATGCTGATAGCCTCTATCATTTCAGCAAGCATCATGCTTTGATTGATCACGCATCCCATGAAAAGTTATAGGATACACTCTGGAAGTGGAATATCTCGTCACATTGGCAATCGAAGGGGCTGCTGCTGGGGGCGGAGCACAGACCGTGGCGGGGCTCAGAAAGGAATGGCAAGCCTTGTACGCTGCAACTAGCGCACCTTTGACCACAAAAACGCAACATTTCGTTTCCTTGGGCCCCTGACTACTGCTTCCAATGGTGCATGTACTTCCACGCTGCATACGCACTTTATCGTAATCTCTCGCTTTAAGTTATGAAGTTAAAGGCAGCGATTACGATAGATTCTGGAGGGGTTTAGAGGGGACGTGGGGGTCTCAATAGTACGCCAATGGCGAAAAAAGCAAAGAAATCCGTCAAAAATAAGCAAAATAGTACCCCTTGATTGCCCTTTCATTTTCGACCATGGATGAGCGACGGACAAAGAACGAAGTTGTTCGGACGTGTTAACCCCGATAGCCGCCATCATGCCAACAAGCATAGTGTTTTGATTGATAAGGCATTACATGGGCAAGTTGGAAGATACAGCCAAGGGAAATGATCTTCCAAAATGAAAAGCCAACAGCAAACAGCTCGCCCAAGTCACCAACTGAACAAGTGGGCGTAACGCTGCTGGGGGCGGAGTGCTGCGGAGGTCCTGCTCAGCAACCACAGCACCTTTCGCCGTGGAAGCGCCACACATCGCTTCCTTGGCAGCCAAGTAATTGCTCCGTGTGGCGCAGGTTCTCCCCGATGCGAAAATTCCTTATCGTAATCGCTTCCTTTAATACATATATCTACCATTCATTGCGATAAATGCCTTAGTGGGTCAATGGTAAGAGTTACGCTTTATTTGTAAATTTGAGATAAATTGTATCAGAGTTAATAAATAATCCTGCAACATTTTCTTCCGCATAACGCCGTGGTAGCATTCACCTAAATAAGCCTGGTCTCACGATTGCCCTGGGTGGGGTTATCGTGTTTTTACATAAAAACTCGTTGACCAGCAATTAACAAAGCAAGAAGGACTGCTCGAAAGTCTAAAATGCATATTGCACGTTGGTCATATTGGCAGAGACAGGGCCAGCTTCTGATTCCTCTTCTTTAAACCGTTTCAAGAAAGGAAACCAACCAATGAGAAGATGCATCGGTCTCCACCCATATGGACAGGGAGCAATGTGCCTTGAGAAGGTTCTCACCAGCTGCGTTCCCTCTCCAGGGCGCTACTGGTGGGTCAATTACAATATTTACACATTTATTTTTTACAACTTCCATTAGGCATTCTTACACTGGAGTGTGGATACAAAGGTGGCAGCCGCACTCGATAGGAGATCTGCCGCAGGTAGGGCGATAATGGTAACCGACAAACGTCAGTCCCACATGGAAGCGCACTAACGAGGTTATGGAGGGGGCTAATTTTGGGCTGAAGCCTAACTGCACTGATACTGGTACACAATCCGCCACTAAGACGTCATCTTTGTTTTTTTGCTGCCTGACTTCCATTTCCACTAACACTTGTACACCACTGGCGCCTTTAAATTACTCTTCATACAACCATTTAGGAAGAGCATGGGTAATGGTAACTTTGCGCGATATGCATTAGTCACGCACCGGACATGTACCATAAGTAGATCCCCTAGGTACGCACGGGATGAGCTGCGAATCGCTCATCTGCTTGCTCTCATCAACACTCACTGGCCTAGATAGTGTCTACTCCCCATCAGGGTGAATATTGCTTGAGGATTCCTCAACGGCACGTCGAGGATTTTCGCCTGATCCTTTACGTTCTCGCGCGCGGATATTCACTCTCGCCACCCGCGAGCCGTCTGTGCTCTCCGCGCGTACATTCACTATCGGCTCTACTCTCGCACAGCAGAGAGCGATGGTCGAGGAATTCCTCGACCGTTATTCACCCTGCTCCCCATCCTCACCCTACCGATGCAATCGGGCCACCGTAATCGCAATAACCTGCGACACGCGCTCTTCGAAAACGAGATCACCACTTAGGAGAGAGAATCGCCGAGAGCGCGCAATTAGCAGAGTATTCTGCCGATTGAATGGCCTACACAGCTCAGGGAGCGCGAACTTTGGCACACGCGATGCCGCGGCGTGACAGTGTGGCACGCACATTTTCCACACATACAAAGCTGACGTTAGCGCAAGCACTTTCTGTGAGCTGACGAAGGCCAGGAAGAAGGTCAGAAGAGTGTTTCACTTGGGTTTGGAACATATTTGAAACAAGTTTGTGCTAGTCTAGTAGCCAGTCAAGCTGAGATCTACACAAAACTGAGCATTTTTATCCTCAACAAAACCGACATTAGCTATAATTGCTGAGTACCATTGAATACTTAGGCTACATATTACTGGAAATTGATGTACTAATTGCTGGAACATTTGCACCACGGGATGGCTAAAACTGTAGCATGCTAACTTGTAACGATTAATATATACGTATTATGGAAATTATAATAGTTATGTCATCCTTTGCACTTGCTGAAACATCCGGTAGCTGGTTTAGCCCTTGGCGAAAGTATCACTCCTGCTGCCCGCACATCCACGTCTTCCACTGCCATCATTTCCCTGGAACAGTTTCCCTTTCCAAAAACTATTCTTGAGTTTTCAATCAATATCTTTCTGAATAATGTTCTTCTACTGCCAGCTTTGATTCACCAAAGAACTGAAAAGAACGCCAACACTGTACTTTTAATGAACTCGTAGAAACCAGAAACTACAATTTACGGAAGGCAGCGATCACGATAATTCAAAGAAGGTATAGAGGAGAGTTAGTGGTGGTACGCCAGTAGCGAAAAAAGCGGAGAAATCCGTCAAGAAAACGCAAAACGGGACCCCCTTTTTGGCCGTTGGTTTTCACTCATGAACAGGTAACAGCTCAGAAAGCGGACGTATGAACGAGTTCATCGCAACGCGTTTGGTGGCACCATGCCAAACCACGCTCCAATCGAGTTGCTCCAGTTGTGCCGCTGCTGGCAACGCAGCTCGTCCAAATCACCAACTAAACTAGTGGGCGGATCGCTTTTGGGGGCGGAGTGCTTTCGAAGTCCTGCTCAGCAACCAGCGCACCTTTCGTCGTGAAAGCGCTACACCTCGCTTCCCTGGCAGCCAAGTAACTGCTTCGTGTGGTGCATATGCTTCCCCGATGCGCTCCCTCTTATCGTAATCGCTGCCTTTAAGAACTTCGTAATAATGGTGTGCCATGCGGGTATAGGGCTTTTCCGTCTGAATATCAAACAACACACTTCCAACTACGCCTCCGAAAGTCTCAAGAAGTCGTGATAGGTGAAAGAAGGGTGGGCTGCCGCATGAAAATGTTGAAACAGCAAATTTTTCACTGTTCTCGCACAACTCACTGAGCTTACTGTCCTCAATTTGACCCCAATCCCCTCCCCCCTCCCCGTTCCCTTGAGTCTTGATACGACTCACGCCTTCCAAAAGCATACTGCAAATTCCAATCAGAAGCGATCCCCCTCCAATTTCACAAATACGACCCCTTCAGAGAATACATACACCTAGGACCCAGTTCTTTCTCCAGTTAACGCGATAGACGCTTGATTAAGCTTCCCCAGAAAAATTGCAGCAAGTACCAAGTAACAGGTATTTTCATCATAGAATATAGCTTAAGTCCGAGATGAGCCCCACACTCATCCAAATGTCTCTGGGTCTCTCACCAGATGGTGCATTCCACAGTACATATCAGATAGCAGGTAATGTACTGGAGCGATACACACCCTGCGTTTGCAAATTGTCAGTTGTGTAAGGTAAAGCGAATATTTAGACATACCTTGTCAAGGCTAACATCGAACTGTCCACATTGCTTCCATCAACAGCACTTGTCTCCATAAACAATACACCCATTTTCTAGAGAAAAATTGATGATGTGATTTTTTATAGCAGTAATTTTTCATCAGTTTTTTTTTCTCAAGGAGCAAAACATGGTATGCACAATTCAGGAAAATGTTGAGGGAGGAACTTACTGCTGCTAATGCAGCTCCGTCATGATTTGATACCACCTCACCCAATTCGGCTCTAAGATCGCATTTATTGCCGACAAGAATAACTGGAATTTGTCTCTCGACCGAATCCTGGAACAATTCATCTTTCAAAAGATTGTTCTAAATTCAAAGTCAGTTAATCGTTGCTTCTGTGCCAAACAGGTTTTGGATGGTTCAATTTCTATTTAGCCTAACGTTTCGAAAAATTCGCCGTTTCAAAGGCCACAACTCTACCAGTGCCGATGACACGCTCAGCCTCCGTCACTGACTTGAAGAATGAATAGAAGTGAAAGTAAAAGTCAGTTTCTAGAGAACGAGGTGTGAACCGTGTGAGTAAAACATCCCATCAGCTACGGCTACACCTAGCAGAACATCAACCTCACAACGTGCACACAAACAAAGGAGTACGCTTTTAACTTTTCTAACTATTTGTTCTAACCCTATCCCAAAAATTGAAACTTATATCATACAGGGACTAATCATAATACTGAAGCATTTGCTTTGGCTTATAAAAAATATATGAGTGCGCATGGGTTTTACTGCACAAGACATTGTCATAAGGTCATGAATGAATGCATGTATGGATTATAAGAGAAACCTTAATAGTGTCAATCCAGTCTCGAACTTTGATGAAGGAATGTTCCGAGGAGACGTCATAGACCAAAATAGCGCCATCAGCACGTCGGAAATACGACTTGCACAATGACCGGAACCTAATAACGAAATGAACCGTAACAAAACGAAAGAACTCATAGGAAGAGAGAAATCTTGCCTTTCCTGTCCTGCAGTGTCCCATAACTGAAGAGCTACGTTCCTTCCGTCGACATTCACCGTCTTCACATGGAAATCCACACCTGTGCAGAATCAGACCGATAACCCTAATCTTACGATCAAATACAATTACGGTAAGGCTCACCAAGTGTGCTGGGTAAATTTGCGCAATGTTTACCACTAACGAGTCTCATTACTAAGCTACTTTTCCCAACAGCCGCCTCGCCACACATCACCACCCTGAAAGTGCGCTCAGCAGGCCCCGTAGCCGGGTGCAGACCCTAAAGAGTCAAACCTTAGCCGAACATCATTTAAATGCTTGGGAATTTTTTGACTCATGCTGCTTTTAGTTTCAAATAGTATTGAACGATTTACCACCATCGGTTCGATATCGCCTTTTGGCTTGTCAGAATCGCTTGAGCAATTCCCATCATCGAACGAAATCACCAAACCAGAGTCTGGAACTGAATTGAACCGAAACTTATCCTCCAATTTTTTCTAGGAATGTTCCTACCGTCTTCCTCAGTTGGAACTTCGCTGAGGGTTGCCGGAGTTTGAATACGCATTTGATCGTGGCTTTGGAACAATGCCATTCCTTCGGACGCGGTTCGCGCCAGATGCGGTGACGGTGTTCTCTACAACGATTGGAAATGATGTTAAGCCTATTCACGACTGTATCTATTCCTTAAAGGCAAAGTTCGGGCTCAGACCCACTTAATGAGCCTTTACGGTGGCTAGAAGCGCTAGGTACGCAAGTGTAGAGGTCGCGTCACTTCCCTACTTCGAAAAGCGTTATTTAGACGCTAGGCGCTAAGAACTTTGACACGCTCCACCTGTTGCGACACGCTCCGCCCACCGCTCGATATGCTCTCTCTACTCGTACTTCTCTACCGCTCTCCGCGCTCACATTATCTCTCATCTCCCTGCCGGCCTTTTGAACTTCTCCGCAGCGTAGAGCAAAAGGCTCGTATTTCCTGTGTATTTCACGATTTTTTTTTCTTTTTTCTCCACTGGCGGTCCACCTTCCTACCCCTACTTTCACATTTGAGTGGAATTACCTCATAATTTAATCCTGAATCTTGCCTTTAAAGAATCACCACCAGGAGAATTTTGAGGTCGTTAACTCTATGGTGAAGATAGTTCACTGGAAAATGCGTATACGGTAGGTAGATCGACTATGAACGAAACTTTAGAATTCAACTGGACAGGGTTTCCCGATGCGCACTTGGGTAGAATTCAGGCAATTCAGGCATTGATACCCAAAGAGCACTATGGGCAAGGGTAAGTCACTTGTCAGGAATACTAGATATTTGGCTAAAAGACCCCACCCGTAAGGATTAGGACTCTCACGCTAACTGCAGGTAGACCTGAACACAACGAAATTTCTGTGAGCGATGGAGAGGAATGAGGGTGGCTAACATAGAAAGATTCCGAAACTTAGGCGAACTCTCCAGTGACCCCAATGCGACCCCTATCGAGGTATCTGGCAGTGATTAAGCCCACTAAAGACTAGCCATTCCAAATTTCAAAACCATGATGCCTCAAAGCATTCTTCGCTCTAACACTGCATAGCGAACAAGTTCTTAGAAGCAGTCCGCGTCATCAGGGAAAGTAGCAGAACAGCGATGACCCTCTCTCCCTCAGCGGTAGAAACAGCTCTGCGATTTCCTTCCCACTTCGACTTGTATAAGTTTGATGTACCGTATAGAAAAAAAGGCACGTATCGATAAAGTGGAAAAAGAGATTGATCGCCTGAAGCGCTCAGAGGTGTAGGGAACCAATCACAATTGTAATCATTTTCGCGTAATCGCGTATTCGCTTACTCGCCAAATCAACATACATCTGATTCGCTCGAGAATCCTCCTTGGACAGCGTTATATATTTGATATACATAAAATAATTACACGACAAATGGTAGTTCCCCTCCCTCCCTCCCCCAAATGATTAAACTTTCTTCTCACCAGATTGAATTGTTTGATGACAGATGCACGGCTATCCAGAGCATCCCTGAGGCTTTCATTTGTCTCGTGAAGTTTTTTGTTGGCTTCACTGAAAAAATCATCTGATTTTTTAAATGACGTAGCTGGCAAACGTCAGTGCAACTCACAAGAGAAGCTGTATCTGGCGTTGCATGGTTTCGCTTTCTTGAGATACAACAGAGACTTCGTCTGAAACACCCGATGTTAATTACGCTATTATAGAAACAAGAAAATCGGGTTCACCTTTCTGCCGGATTAGCTCATTCTGTTTGTGTTCGTAATCAGCCCGAACATGCGCCAATTCACTTTTTATCATGGCCAATTCAAGGTGATTTTCAGCAAGACCACGACGTAGTTCATTGTTTTCCGAACAAACTTCCTGTCAGATCAGATTATTTAGGATCACAATCACGCTATGAGCGAAAAAAAATCCAGCAATACTGAAGTTATACTACCCAGAGGCTGGGCTGGAAACATACGTAGGAATAGGTCAAAGCGCGATATCGTGCCTTTGTCTACCTGAGGTTTCGTTGCGAGATCCAGGGAACTCACAGGGAACTATAATGATAGGGACTATTATGAGCTCTTTGCGCTCCACCTATAGGGAATCTCGTTAGATGGCCCCATTTCTTAACTGCATTTTGCCAGGTCAGAGAAATGGCTGACCAATGACCCGCGGGAAGGAGCGCAAACCCCGCCCAAATGGTCAGGGCACCATGTGATTCTAAGGATCTCAGCCAATTTTCTTTCATTACTGGTACACCAGTTAGCACTATCAAGGCCATTTAGGAGTACCATACCCCCCCCCCCCCCCGATCTACTCGTGCGCGAAATGTGTCTTTGAACCACTCATTCTTCATATTGTGAAAAATACAAGAGATAATACGACAGTGCCCTGGACAGGGAGTGAGACGCCCCTCCTGAACTGCTGTCAGACCTATAAATATCACTGTGTCAAAACAAACAATAAACCTTTAGACGCTCTTGTAACTCCTTCTGATGGCTAAGATTTTGTCCCTCTTTCTCAAGAACACTTTCCATTTTCTGCAGCCTTTCAATGTTACTTTGCATGGTACGCATTTCTTCGGCCATACGTGATTGCATTTCTTCCTTCTCCTTCGTGAGTTTATTTCTTTCCTGAAAACAAAATTGAATTGCGATCTATTGCTGGGTATGGGAAAACGAGCGAAAAAGGAAAGGAAGGATTTGTACGAGGAGATGATCAACAGCTATCGACAAAATAGCGCGCTGTGCTTAGTCTTCGAGTGTAATACCTTCTGCACTCTATTACCTTTCATTCCAGAGCCACCGGGATGCTTTTCGGTAGCCGAGAAGGGCTTGTGGGCCCATTAACACGTTGACGATAGGCTACGCGCATGCGCGTCAGAAATTTGAGGCTGCATACCACTTGTCACGGACTTTAGTGAATTTTCAAACCCGGTAAGGGGACACGCCAAGTGTACCGGGCAGGCTTGAAAGCGTTAAACTAGCGTTTTTTTTTTGGCAATTAGCACAAACTTGGGCTTTCCGACTTTCCGAACGTGTCATTCGTTTACTTGGAAGGAAGTAAGAATTGAATGCTGTGGAGAACTTGTTCCTACACATTATGCAAATCCACAACAAGCTCCACAGTCGCTGTACTACCTACACACTTCACTTAAAGGCAAAGTTCGGGCTCAGACCCACCTAAGAAGCCCTTACCATGGCTAGAAGTGCTGGGTACGCAAGTGCAAAGGTAGCGCCACCTTTCTACATCGAAACGCGTCACTAGGACCCTAGGCGCCATGGACTTCTAACAGACTCCACCAAACTTAACATGGTCCGCCCACCGTTCGATATCTTGTCTGCGTCGCCACGTTGATCTGCTATGCTCTCTCTTCTCGGACTTCTCTACCGCTCTCCGCGCTCACATTATCTCTCATCTCCCTGCCTGTCTTTTGAACTTCTCCACAGCATAGAGCAAAATGCTCGTATTTCCTGTGTATTTCAGGATTTTCTTTCCTTTTTTCTCCACTGGCGGTCCACCTCCCATCCCTACTTTCACATTTGAGTGGAATCAACCCATCAATTTAATCCTGATTCTTGCCTTTAAGTGTCGGACGGAAAGTGTTCTGTTCAGAGAGTGAGTGGAGCAGTGCACTTATAACCCGAAATTAGCATGCCAGCTCTGCTTTGACTACTGTCAACTTTTTTTTCAAAAACGAAAAGGAAGAAGAAAAACTTCTTCAATGCCTACCTCTTCACGTGCTTTGCGTTCGGCCATCATCACCTGCTGATCTAACTCAATTTCCACTTCTTCCATTCGTTTGTTGTACATATCTTTCTCTCTGAAAAACAATTGAAACTGACATATTTTGACCTGTTTTTGTTTGTTAGCAGCTGTTTTTGCAAGCGAGAGGTGCGGGTTCTAGTCCCGCCTGGGGCGAAAGTTTTGTTCACAACCCAGCATTCTTGTGAAACTGACATAGTTCCTCTCTTCATATCCCGCACTGCTAAGGTAAGAGTGGGAGCGGATCAATAAGCTTAGAAATGACAAAAGAAAAAGAAACAATTGAAAATAGATGCAGAAATTACCAATGAATGGAATCCAGACACACAGGACATCCTCAGCACTTCAGTGCCATCCCTTCCTCCTGTGCGTATAGTTTCTAAACTTTAGTGGTCTCTACAATCCCAGCCGGAAAGCTGGTAAGCCTTTCAATCGCATGTACAGAAAAAGTGTACCCATCGGTTCAGTGTGCGTCAAAATTTGTGGGCAGTTTGCCAGGTCCCGATTCCCTAGCCTTGGGTGTTCAGTTGAATACCGTTCTCCTCAAGGAAGAGGAGGGAATTCTTGGATATCTCTTTTCCAAAGAAAGACCCCCACCTCCAGGACGTATTTGTAAGGTTGACTAAAAGGGAAGGAATCATTTAACGAAAAAAGAAGGACTAAATGCAGTGATTGCGATGGCTGAGAGCTGGCGTAAGGGACTCGGAAACTGGGTAACATCAGTGGCGTAAGGGACTCGCAAGCTATATCAACGCCACCCCACCACTGGGCTATTTCAAAAACGGAGGCCCATTTTTATTGTAACGCCGCTTTTATTAATTTCGTGTTCCATGATTACAGAATGGCTGGGAAAAGCTGCTCGCTATACTTATTCTGCTGTTTTCAGAGATATGATTGGAACAAGCTCCTTTATCTTCAGCTTATACATTGTACCAAATTCGAGTAGAGTGTGTGGAAAGCACGATCAATCCGAGCAAAACAAATAAGGAATGCAAAACCTTTTGCGGTAAATTTGTTGAAAATTTAAAGGCGGACGTAATAAATAAATAAATATGAGAGAAAGTAAAAAAACGGTCACAATATGCAATGGAAGTGAGCACTTACGTCTCAAAAATGTGTTGCAAACGTTGGTTTTCGTCTTTTTGGTCTTTGATCTCTTTGTAAAAAGAGCCGACTATGCGCTCGAATTTTCGAAGAAGCTGAGGTACGCCAGCAGACTGTAGTTGCTGGTAGAGCAAGACGACCTCTTCCTGACTGGAAATGGCATATTAGAATAATATCGCAGTAACATCTATTGAAATGGATAGAAAGTACTGCGACTGTTCCGAACAGTTTAAACAATTTTTATTTTTTTTTGTTCGGAAAGCTCGACCAATTGCATATTCCCCAAGACCATCTACTCTGGAAGCTCAGACAGCCTCTAAATACCCCTATTCGAAAACGTGGGCAGCTGCGAGTCAAAATAAGGGACGACTTTGTTTACAAAATGAGATGCCTGTCAACTATTTTTCACCATAGATAATCACTGAGACCCAAATTTAGTATTCATTCGGTATTGAGTAATTATTGTCTTTGGATGGACGTAGACAACACGATGGGTGGAGCAGGAGCTCTCAGGTCAACTCCAAGATTCACCGGCGGGCTTTTCCACCACCTGCAGTCGCGCCCTGTGAAACGGCAGTGCTTTAAGGGGATAAATATTGGGTTGTCCAGAAAATCCTGCGACACTTTGTCCAAGATTTTTGACTGTACCTTTTTTTGTTGAATGGGATATTCAATCAGCAGGTTATCACCGGTAGCACGTAGGAGACGTGTACTTTTTCTGGGCAACTTCTCAACCCTCTTACTTTAGAAATCCGGCGTTTGCTTCGAAAAGAAGCGCTTCATCCAATTTTCGAGGTGACCTCAATCATTGGATTTTTTCTCTTCGAGGTAGCGCTTCAGTGTACTAATTACGCAATATTTAGAAACGACTAAGTCAGGCGAGTAAGCCAAGCACTGCAGAATTTCCCGATCAAAATCCACGATCTCCTCATGTGTAATCCTTCGCCACATACAGATACGGGTTAGGGTGGGGTAACACCGTATCGAGAATTTCTGCGTGATTTGACGCATGGCTTCGGCCAAATTTCGAAGGTTGTTAAAGCCGACAATGGTCGATACCCTGGTGCAGGTATCCAGCAGCTTTCTGTAGCGAATCAGTTTGCAACCTCATCAGAAACACTAAAAAGTCCTTCTTGACGAAGGCCTGCTTTCGTTCCTGCGGGCAGCTTTCCTCCTTGTCGAATCCAGTAGTGCTTATGTGTATAGTTTAGTCAAGGCCAGAGCTATCTTCATTAGCCATCATTTTTGTCAAGAGATTCCTTTGATGCGAAAGAAGAGAAATCTGAATCATGGTCACACGGTTCGCCTCCCCAGACTGGCGCAACCCATGTGGTGTCAATGGCGAACATACTGATCTGTAACCGAGATCGTGCAGATCCTCGACAATTGTCGAATGAATGCAGCTGTTGTTAACCTACTACTGGTACCAACCGGCTGCGCCTCTTGGAAGTTGAGTAAACGCTTGTCAGTCATCGTCTACTGCCGTCCAGCTCCGTGCCCCATTTCGAACAAAATATCTCCAGTTGCGAGGGAACAAGGCCAACGGGACACCATGGCCTAGTGAATGACATCCCTCCTGACTACAGCACAGATGCTAGCTGCAAGGACACAAACGGAGTGGCTTTACAGGAGCTCGAAAAATAAAATAGGTCAAAAGATGTGTTGATTCAGAGACAAGTTTGAAGCAGTTAAACGCTGCACGTAGCCTCCATTTACGCTTCTGCCGAAACCTCCGAAGATACACTGCAGCAATCAAATACCAAAACTACTGGAAAGAGTTTTGGTCTTTTCCTAAAGAACTTTGTTTAAAGTGTCGCAGGATTTTCTGGACAACCCAATACGTCTTAACGGGCGTTTCCTGCGAAGCTCGTTGAGCAACTTCTGGAGCACAGCAGTTCTCTATTGCCACAATGATGGACACCGAGGAATTTCATTTAACGGTCCTGGCTATCCTTCCAGTAACAAATAGCCGACGTGCAGATAACCTCCGAAGAACACTCCTAAAGGTAGAAATCCCTGCTGCGGGTGGAACACGCTATAACGAGAGAAGATGACCTCATAAAACGGATTGCAGTCGTTGTTGGTCCGTATCATGGAATCGGAAGATAGATTGGCACGTGGTTGAAACTTTGGGACTATCGTCACTGCTTGTCCCGCCACTGCCTAACTGGAAAGTGAACGCACCGAGTATCCTCGTGCCATAAATTTTCCCTCGAATTTTTTAGAAAATAAAGTTTAATTTGAAAGAAAGTGTTGCAAGACTTTCATTGCAAAGTAATAAATTCATCGAAAAAATCGAGGATAAGAGACCGTCCAGGATGCGCCATGCACAGTATATCCAGTCATCATTCGAGAGCACTATTGAACATATTTGTCCTACAGTGTTATGTACTATAAGACCAGCTAATGCACATGCCAGTGCTTCTCCCTGATATCTGCCGTCATTTCGCCAGTTTGGAAGGCCTAGCTTTCCATTTTCCTAGGCTGGATAAGATCCATAGATCAGGTGATGGTTAAGGTGGTGAAGCGCCTAGGGTCACAGCCATACAACCGTGAAAATCATAAGATTGGTTAAAAATTTTAAGGTGAATAAACTTCAATGCGACGCGTACGTAACGTACCACGGTAAGGAAAAGTCCACGCTCATGTTTTCTGTTTCTGAGTTATACACGTCGTCATCCAAATTTCGTAGACGTGACGGTCGAGAGAACTGTAAGTATTCCCTTGAAAAAAGAACTGGAACGAGTCACGACCGAAACGAACATAATTGCACTTTTTTTGGTTACAGCACTCTAGTCATATAGAAATAAAAGTCTTCTTTCAGATTCTCATTTTAAAAATTCCGCCAAAGTAATGTTCAACTATTTTATAAGGTTTCGTTCCCTGCGATCAAAAACTGGCCTTGACTGTCAGGCTTTCTGCTCAATTCTTACCCCCGCTCTCTTGAAAAGGTTCATAGTGATGCCCGCCAAAAGGCTTGCTGAGGAACCGCTATGGACACGCTCTTTCGTTTGGCGTCAGGGTGAATAATCGGCGAGAAAATCCTTGACCACGGCTCTGTACTGTGTACAGTAGTGTCGAGAGTGGATGCCCGAGAAGGAAAGCGTGGCTGGACAGGCAAAAATACTCGACGAGTTGTCTACGAACCCTCGACCGGTTCTCACCCTGTTTGGCATCGGTCCCCTTGTCATAGAATGGCCGACATTTCCGCTTCTCCTCGCTTTGGATGCCGGGTTTCCAGAAAGCGTTTTCCGAAAACATAGTATTTGTATTTTGTTACATCTTCCATCAAATCAATAATCTCTTTTTCCGAAAGTTCCCAATCAACGATCCCACTTTCAGAGTCTCAGCTTCTTTGGCCAAAGTCGTTCACCCCGGTAGCCCTCGCATAATCGCCATAGAAGTTATTCCTAGTTAGGGATCTCTAGGTATTGTGCCAGCTATCCTCAACTTTGACATCTGTTACCATTTTATTGTAATTCCACTTTGAATCACCCCTGTGGAGCCTGGACTAGTTACAGTACTCAAGCGATTTCCGCCGATTTTCTCGACTAGGATGGAACCCAAGGTCTTCCGAAATGAAATACGAGCCCCTTTCCCAACCACCCTGGTAACTCTGGGGCACTTATCTGATCAGAACAGGAAAAATCAAAGGTTTGATGAATGAAGCTTTTCCTAAATCTGCGAAAATCAATGGAGAACTCACCACGGATTCAGCATCACTGTCGAATACTTCGTCACCTGCACGTGAAGGAGGCGTAGTGTCCCATAACTTCAGTGAACCGTCGGTAAATTCATCAGAATACTCGATTACACTTGCCCTGCGTTGCATTCCACCATAACCTAGATTTGATACTTTTAAAATTTGTAAATAATGAGCAACAAAATTTGACTTGATATGTATTTTTCCGAAGAAAAGTGAGTCAGTGGCAGATGGCGCCACTGCCGCCCGAAAGCAAATGGCGGATTCCTATTGGGAAGCGGAGTGGATTAAGTAAGAATTTCAGCCTCTATTCGTTACAAGGTAGGTTGCTTCGGTACCACGTCCTTTGGAATGGAAAACTGACTTGTACCTAAACACAGGGGGGGGGGGCAAAAAAAGACATTTTGCCCATGTCGCACTTCGGCCTTTTTTCTTCGCAGAGATTGCCGTCGTTGACGGAAGTTCCTCAGCAAAATATTCCCTAAATGTCCCTCTATAAGTACACGCAGGCCCTCCTTCACTACCCTCACCGTCTTCAGAATATGACGTCATCTGTCACCGTCGTCGAGCTCAGGAGGTAACTGCTTCAGCCTGAAGCTCTTACATAATTTCTTGGATCGATTCAACGTGGGATAGTTTCCTAGGGACATTAGCTCTAACTATGCAAACCCCCTCGGAACCGCCCTTCGGAACCCGTCGTAACGGTACACGATCAGTCGAGAACCCCATTGAGCTCGACCAGAGCACCATGTTTCCGGGGCAAACTTTTCTGATGCCGTCCACGTAGATGGCCACTATGAAGATTTTCTTATGAAATGAAATGCGCTCTTCAATTCTAAGTTGGGAGCACACGCTTTGAGCTGAGCAAAGTGTGATTAAATCCATTTGAGTCTGGAGACAAAATGTCTTTTTTTATTGCCCCCTGTATCTCCCCCCCCCTCTGCCCGCATTCGCCTGTATAGGCTAAATATGCACTCAAAAGTCACAGCCTGAACGTATCGTCACTGTGTGCACCGCTGGGGAGAAGTGCTTTGCTATCAGTTTTCTAATAATTTCAAGGCTGCTAAGCCGATGCCCATCAAAACCAATGGAAATGCACCACTTGCCGTGTTCCAGGTCCACCTGTTTTTCAAGGTTCATAAAACTGCCGCTTTTTTGAATTATTCAAAATGAGGGCTAAATTTTGATAAATATGAATGCCAAACCTCTGTTTTCACCTTCCAGTACCGCCTTTTTGAATCCATTACAGAATTCTTCCTTATCTATTTTGCCAGATCCATCAGTATCCAATTGAGCAAATATGAACTCTATATCCTGAAATTGAACGCTTTGTGATCTTCTAAAAAGACATATGGGTTGCATGCGAAGGTTCATTCTGATTGGTTATCCTAGAAAATCAACCAATCATGTCACCACTGCACAAACCGGAGCCATCAACCTGGCGCAGCCCAACCAGAACTTAATGTGAGAACACGGTTAACCGCCCATCGGCTATTCCGAGACGTATTTGCGTTGTGTGAGGAAGGAGGGTCGTATTTGGGGCTGAAGAAAGTTGACTTGGAAAAGGGGATGGTGTCGTATTCGTGGGAGTTGAAGGAGTGGTGGAAGTAAGGGTGGGAGGTCGTTCTTGACGGTGCAAACGTGACGATTGACCTGTGCGGAGCGCTTTCAACGAAAGATCGATAAGGCTTACCTTTTGGTCGAGTTGAGGACAGATATGATGCAGCTGTCCTAGAGAAAATCAATGGAGAAGGCAAAACGCACAGAAGCCTCTGACAGGAGGCTAGAAAAAATAGCAGAAAACCATTAAAAAAAGGTTGCAAAATTTGAACGAAAGCCATGAGGAACTTACATGGCATGGTGAGGGAATCCATAAGTTTCCAAAATCACAGAAAATCTTCAGAATATACTGCAACACGCAAAGCTGTGCGGCAAGAGAATGGCATACACATGTGATGTGTGATTGTATTCACCTATTGTTGACGGGGTCTTCATTATAAAAAATCGATAGAATCGCCTCGAATGCATGAATTTATGCGATCTCTTAGCAATGCTTTTAAGATGGCGATGTATGCAAGACGCCAACGCCGGGCGCATATCGTCAGGTGGGCTGCCTACAGGCACGAGACGGATCCACACCGAGCCGTAAAATTTGGTCAGCAAATTTTTACTGATATTCTTGACTTCGTGTGGAAGCCCATTCGAATTTATGCTTCATTTGATCACTTTCAGATTTGCAGTCAAGCAATACTTCAGCCAAATCCATCTACTTCCCTATATAGCATACAGAAGAGCAAACCAGGTTGTCAAGCTATGGGTCTGATTAAAGAGCTGGAATTTAGCACTGTGACTGGAGGCCAAGATTTAGGCTGTAGCTGCTTATCAAAAATAATTCAGGTAAAAGATATCAGGTGAGTGGCGTGCGATTCAATATTTCCGTAAAATGCCAGACCTAAAGCATCATGTTGTAAAATAATTAGGACAAGCCAGGGTTGAATGTCGTGTGCCTCCGCTTCTGAGCCCTCTCAAAAAAAGGACGACTAAAGCTACAGTGTTGGATGACAGCTAGGACTACAAAGTCCATGTCCAAAAGTGCACAGTTAGCTTTTTTGCTCATATTGAAAGTGGAAGACATGGCGCACACCGAAGCAACTTCATCGCTAACTGTGAGCCAGATCTCGACCGCGACGGATCATTAGGAAAGAAACCCAAAATTAAGGCACCACTTATTTGCTCAAAGCAAGTTAGGACTAAGCCTAGGCCCAATCATAGGCTTAGGCATAAGCCAATGTGTAAGCATAAGCCAAAGCCTAAGCCTAAACCCAAGCATAACCTTAGGCTTCGATGATCGCGTAGTTTCGGTGACCTGCCCTCTTAGGGAAACTGAACGTCCGGTGGTGTAGTGCTCGCAAAATTTTGAGCGGGAGGTACGGTAACCAGTCAAACTCATTAAACTCCCGTTTGAGTGGAGGAAATACGCTAGAAAAATTTTTCGGGTTCTGGGTCCCCTTTCTTCCTTTTCCTTTGGCCGATGTCAAACTTTGCGAATCGAGCGTTCACGGTCGCGTCGCGGCCAGCGAATCTGCTCGATTGGCTGGTACCGCAACGCGACCGCGGACGCTAGCGAATCGCGCGATTCGCAAAGTCTGACATCGGTCTTTATGTCCCACTCGAAGGTTATTGGCTCTAGTTGATATTATGGAAGTCAAAGCAAAGCAGATGACGAAAACGACTATTTTCAATTCAAGCCTAATAACAGAATAAAAACGTTTGCACCACTGCCTAGCTGCAGCAGAATCATACTAAAGCAGTTTTTCAAGACAACAAGCAAGGAACTGTTGCTCGCGCTGACATGAAGGCACAGTCCGGGATAAGGCATCTTCGCCGATTCCGTTACCGATCATGATAAATTGTCGAGCAATCATTAATGTCTAGTTGCTTTGCGGTCCGAAAGAAGAGCCACAAAAAGGGCCTGGCAATCTCTCAACCCGCAGTGTAAGCCTCGCCCGCAAGTCTCGCCCTTCCCGCTGGCGGCTACAACGCTGGCACTATTAGAAGAACGAAGTCGTAATTGAAGTGGCGCCTGTGTTGCGACCACGCATCTAGCATGGAGTCTTATCAATACGCACATCTACCACAATAACGTCGTTCAGAGTTGGTGAAGGGGGAGGGGGTTCCTGTTCGTCCGCTTTCGCTCTTCTTCACTTACGAGTTGCTTAGCACACAGAAGTTCGTACTCGATGACCTCCATTCTTCAAATGCGAGTTCTGCCTTTGATAATTACCTTGGTCACCGCGATACAGTTTCCCTAACCCACATCCCGGAGCGCTTCTCTTTCACAACACCCATCATTGGGGCATGAGCTAGACATCGATTTTTTACGGAATGGGCACAGAACGGAAAGTTTCGTGCAATCCATGCGAGAATACGAATTCCATAGCAGTTCCTTTCTTCATCTACTTAAGTATTGTGGCTCCAAAAAGACTAAAACTTGAAAAAAAATGTTTTTCGCAAAACAAATCGATTAGTTCCTTTCACACAAGCATTGCGAAACGCGCAAGGTTTTCTAAACGAGGTTCCTACTTGAATCACCTACCCATCATTTTGAAAAAAAGAGAAGCAATAAGGCCGTGTAAACATCGGAGGCTGCATAAGGATAATACAGAACCCCTTATACCGTTTCGTTCCTCAAATTAAATAAAATAAATAAATAAAATAAATTAAAATTAAATAAAAATTGATTAAATAAGAAATAATTAAATAAAAAATAAATAAATAAAATAAATAAATTGTGCTTCACTAGTATGGTTCAATATAGTCATTTTTTTGATTTACTTTTCACAGAGAATCGAATATGCGTTTTCAATTTTCAAGTCATGTGAAAAATTTATTAAAAAAACGCGATATTGTACCACGCAAACAGCTACGTAGGGTGCGCCATTCACTCGTGATGCTTCGAAATTTTTTTTACATCAAAATCACATGAGCTATCAGAAGAAGCAGAAAAATGCCATGAATGAAAAATGTGTATTTTTACGGCTCAGAGATTCCACGACGATTATTTCAAAAACTCTATTACCCCACCTAGCCCTCTTTAGAGAACACAGTCACATTGAAGGAAAGAACAAAAAGAATTTGAAAGGAAAACTATGGTTAAGTGATCGGTCCCTGAAAATGCTCAGGGGTAGCATTGAAAACAGCGAAACACAGTACCAACGCTACATCTAGCCCAGGTAGGCAAGGGGCTAGAATCAAGTAAATTTGAGCAAGGGGCTGTATTTCTTAAAATAATGTCGTATTTACTATAGACATAGGAAGGAGAATTGTTGAATGAGATGCTGAAAATTTGAAGAATTCTTGCAAGTTTTGAAAAACATTGTCCCTTTATATTTGCCTCCTACAGTTTGAACCTCCCTCCCCCCCCCCCCCCCCGTCTACCAGCCACAGCGTATCAGGTTGTCAGGTAGAAAAATCTGAAACCATCAAGTAGTCAAACGGAGTAAGTGACGTAAGTCTAAAACTGTTAAGGTGACGACTCTTGCAGATCAAATAGGTAGCCTAGTAAAATCCACTCTAGAAAATTGAAGGCAGTTTCCCTAGAGGAGCGTCGGGTGCAGACCATACACCACAAGTGACGACGGCCGCCACAAAATGTGAATGTTTTCTGCCAATGAAATGATTAGCCTGTTGCAGTTGTATTCTATCAGTTGTCACTAATTACAACTATCATTTACCAAAAATCAGCTATCACTATGAACCACTACTAACCAGATTTACTTGGAGGCCGTCGTCACTTGTGGTGTATGGTCTGCACCCGACGCTCTTCTCGTTTTTTGAAAGGAAAGGGTACCTGTCTTCACGCCATCTTTTCCTCTCCCCTCCAGGCTTTCCCCAGTTATTGAATTACTTCGAGTGAAGCTAAGGGTAGAAATTTTTGGAGCGGGACGTGGTGGGGTGCTTTCCGCGGGTGGAAAGAATCACTTTTTTTTATTTAAAAAAAACATTGTTGGAGCACATCGATTGCTTCTGCAAATAGACTGAAACGGCTACAACGGAAATAATATGCAGAATTCGCTTTCAACATTCTGATGCGACGAAAGAGAAACATTCATAGTCTAATGGCAGAAGTTTGATGTGAGGGGCAATCCCTACCACGCAAATGCGTTAAAAATTCTCGTTGGAATCTATATACGTGAAGTCATTAGTGAAGATTTAAGCAATTATTCAACGCGAATTCAACTGAAGTTCCCTAAACTCACTAGAATATGGATTTCTTTCACCCAGTTCCGGTGACCTAACCCTAAACACACAACCCCCTGGTATGGCCGTTAAATAAAACACTACAATATCAGACTAGGAGAGCCTCCACGCCCTGCCGATTCCTCGAATTCACAGACAACATTTTAATCGATACTGCCATCAAACCTGATTCAATCTGGCACACTTCCAACTTCACTCCAACCGAAAATGCCACCAAGGCTGCGTTCAGCAACAATAGCGGCCCATGTAACTGAATGAGGAAATTTTCAAGTTTTCAAAAATATTCATCACTCTTCGTCTTTCAGAAATACAGAAATACAGCACCCTTCCCCGTAATTTTTTAAGCCACGTTCCGGACCGCTGAATGAGCCGCCAATCATTCTCTCCATTTTTCTCACCTATTCACCTTACCTTCGCTTCGATTAGCCATTGCCTAGGCGATTCAGCACTAGGCTTATCCTACCTTTGTTGTGTTTTGCTTACTTTATAATATTTTTTGTTCATTCCTCTTTTCCCCTAATTTTTTGTCGAACCCAATTTCATATGTCACAGTTTTGCTGGTTCCTCATATCGCCTAACTGTAGCACATTTGTCGGAGTAAATAAATAATTAAATAATAAATAATCGAGTCATACGTCCTTCACTTGAATTGTGCAGACGGACCACTATCCCTACGCGAACATGGGGAGATTGTCATTCAGATATGTCAAAATTTGGCTTATGGGGAGGCTTGTTCCATTTGAACCTTTCTCCATTCTTCTTCTGTCGGACCTAAATCCCATGCGGTAGCAAGGTGCGCTGATCTTGTTAAGTGTCGACTGATCTTGTGTAAAGCTTCTTCTGCCGTGGTCTTGAATTCACTGAGGCTCTACTTTATAACGACTCTCAGGCCGATATCAAACTTTGCGAATTCCTTGATTCACTAGCAGCGCAACGCGGCCGCGGACGCTAGCGAATCGCTCGATTTCCAAAGTCTGACATAGACCTCAGATTGCAACCCCCGAAAACTTCTATCCTCCCATGTGCCACTATTTTCAACTAAAATTTTGCAACATTATCGATAGAATTACCTGATGGGAAATCCCGAGCGCATTAGAAAAGTTACCGAACTTTTGAAATTTTTTGTAGAAAGATCATTTCAAGAAAACGTACAGCAGAAATATGGTTCCCTATAACATTCACCTTTCTTGGGGTATGATATTCTTACATCAGTGTAAAATGGAAGTCAACCTCTCAGAAATCAATTATCAAAAATAAACTAAAGGTGAAAACATTAGGCTGACCATAAGTGAATCCTTACAGTTAATAGTGGCCCAAATTCAATGACTCCATGATCCTTCATAGAATTCGGATGCTTTGGGCATCCGCATTCGAGAATGATCTATCAGGAGTACATGAACAGATTCATCCCTCAATCCATGTACTGTATGTGTCTGATAATTGAATGAAAGCTGGCTAGGCTAACAAGAATGTGAAAATCACATGTGATCGGTTTTTCCTATATTGATTGTTCAATGGTTGTCCCTATTGTATGTATAGCACACAGAATTCGCACCAGGAAATGAGGGGCGTAATTGAAACCTTTTACTTTCAGCAGCATAACGAGATGTCATCCCATCGACGACAATAATTCACTTCATAAAGTGAGATCTTCACTCAACAACCTTCCAAGGTCACGCTAGAAGAAACCAGCTAATGAATTTGAGGAGATCTGCTAAGGACGGAACAAAAATAACTTATACCTAGCAGAATGTGTAGGATAGGCTGGGTCGCCTTTCAAGCGCTTTTGATCAGGGTGCACCATGGGTCGATTAGTCCGGGTTACAGTAGGGAAAAGGTACCTGATTCGCAAACTTGCCTAATGGAAGGGGAGGAGATGGGGCAACCTCATAAGATGAAATTTGATCCTCTCTAGCCCAACCCCCCCCCCAACCTCCTCCTGCCCCCTCCCTCTCCTACAAATTGATGGAGTCGATAGTGTCGCCAAACCTGGTAATAGAATGACCCGATTCGAAATCGCCCCCAAAACAAGCTTGAGCATTAGATGGAGGTAGGCGGCGATATAAAAGGGTAGTTCGTGGTGATTAAAACGAAAAATAGGCTTTCCGAATTTCGCAAAAATTCCTGCTCCTGAAAAATTTCCTCGCGTCTTGTAGGTTAACGGCCCCTTCCTCCAAACAGAACCCCTCCCTAAGATCACCTCCTCCACTGTTGACTAGGTTGAATGTATGGATTACCCTCACCTGTCATTGTGCATATTCAAAGGGAGTACGAATAGGATTTGTCACGGATTCAAAGAAATTTTAGAAGTTTTTAGAAAATTTCAGATATTAAATATTCTCGCTGCAAGTTGTAATCCCCAATCCTACTCACCTTGATATTATTTTCGAGAAACTTTTCAAAGGGAAAGGGGAGGGAGGCTGCTGTAAAGGTAAGCTTGAAATGACGGGCGTAGCAGGCACAGATACAGCGCCCCAGCCAAGGAGAGGATATCGCCAGGCGGAAGGTCATCACGAAAAAATAGCGCACCCCAGCTGAAGCGCTATGTGGCAAGCTGCGGTTCTTTGAAGTATGTCGTTTTTTCACCACCACGGAGCCCTTCAAAAAACAAGTCACTGAAGACTACAAGTATTTGGCCTACTTCCTCTACCTCTGCTACCTCTGACATGATGCGAATTGTGACCCGAGTGTCAAACAATTGAGAATAAATTGAAATATAAATATCTCATTTGTCAGAGAATAAAGGCAGTATGCCAGCACGACAGCTGTACTATTTCAGAATCGAATCGATCCCAATCAGGGCCATCGTGCCTCATCGCAACGTTAGCTTCCGATTTTATGTTCAGCTCTATCCTCGTATAATGCTCGAGACTCTGAAAAATTCACTTATTCCCATAGTCAATGCCCGGGAATGAGAAAATGCTTCGGATTGCGCTCATCATCAGGCGCTGGGTCGAGGTGACATCACCAACGTGGCGAAAAGATCACACAGTCATGAATTTCGTCGTAGAAGCCATTCTATGGGTCTACATCTCTTGAATAGAAACCGAAAATGCAAAGAACCGATGTCAGCTAACGAAACAACATGAAGTGGCGCATATGCTAGACCACCAAAAGGCTTAGGCTTTGGACGTCGTCGGGATTCAGTATCCGCTCCAGAAATGCGGTTACCGAAAGTATATTCCGATCTAGGCCAAATGGATTGATTGACTTGATTTTGATTAAGTAAAATTCTTCATAAAATGTTTCACATAAAGAGCATAGGGCACACATGAAACTGGTACAACAGTTTACGCGAATAATGGCAATCCCAATTTGGAGGGGAAGCAGCTTCCTGATGGGTGAACCTAGGAAGGAAGGGCGAGGTTAGATAGATGTTACCTCTACTACCTCTACATGTTTACAATGGAATGTAGTGCTTGAAGTGGCCAAAAGAATTGGTACACTGCTCCAGAACTCCCCCCCCCCCCGGTGAAACTCCAGTTCGGGGGGGGCACTCCATTTTTTCTCCAATACTCAAGATAAGGATTAGAGGGCTCACGACACGTAATCGACTCATTTAAAGTAGACTTCTGATAAATATTGGTGTAATGGGTGAGAAACCCTGAAACGTTTTCACATTTCCGCCTGCCATGACCCAAGGGAACGGTCCTGGACCAGGAGAAAGGACACCTCCGCAAAGGGCTAAGGGTGCAGGAGCTCCAGGGTGGATCACCTGTGCAGAAAAGTGGATGGGATGTGGGCAGGTAGTGTGGAATGTAGGACATCCACCGGTCCTTATCAAAAGTACGCTCGAAATGAGTCGTTCACTTATTATCTTATCCGTAGTGTTCGATAGCCCAAAGAACTGCTCTCTAGTACTACGGATAAGATAGCAATGGAGTGCCCCCCGAACTGGAGTTCACACTCCTCCCCCCCTTACTATGAACGCCGAGCATGGAAAAGTTTGCGTTATAAGCGAGCTGCTTCTAGCGCCATACGCTAACATATTCGCGCTAGATAAGTTCGTTGCCAATTAGGTGGATTGATTAGCGTGGCAAAATTAGTGTGGCAAGCACCCTGACTAGCCACTATGCCACCTCCTCCTGTGAAACAAAACCTTTTCTATTCATAAGTTTTTTTGTTTTCTTCATGAAATTATTCTTTTCAGTCCATTTTCAATTCCACATACGCACAAACATCTAGCACACTCTCTCTTGAGGAAGTCCACAAATCAACACGGTTGAAGCTATTGGCTGTGAAATCCTTAACACCGTCCGATAGCTTCAACCGTGGATAGTTTAGCACGCGAAAAGGACGCATAGGCCGATGTCAGACTTTGCGAATCGCGCGATTCGCTAGCGTCTGCGGTCGCGTCGCGGCCAGTGAATCACTCAATTGGCTGGTACCGCAACGCGACCGCGGACGCTAGCGAATCGCGCGAATCGCTAGTAGCGAATCGCGCGATTCGCAAAGTCTGACATCGGCCATAACGCTGTTGGCACCAGCGAGGGGAATCTATCCTAGAAGGGGCGTCATAGGAACATTGGTGCTTTAAGATTTGGTGAAATTACAACGAGGTTCACCGTTAATACATAGGTTGTATAAGGACTAGGTAAACGTAGAACACACAGCTTACCCAAGCCTTAGCGCTCTTTCAAGAATATCCCTGGTTGAAGGAGCAGCAGGATAGCCACCACCTCTCTTGTTACAGAAGGATCTCTCACCAAACTTTTATTTTTGCCTTTTAACAGTTTTCATTTCAGGTGGTTCCTCTCGTTTCAGCTACTCACTTACAGCTACAACACAGAAGAAGAAAGTAGATGAGAGCGTTACATGAAAGGATATGTAAACACAATAGCCTGAGCCAGCGGGTAGAATTCCTGTGGAAAATCAATGACAGAAATTCCACAGGTTCATCATTAAAGTGAAGAGGACAGATAGTTTTGGGAAGAGGTTATTTGGGCTTTATTCCTGTGCTTCCCAAATCTCAAACATATGGGTCCAAAGCAGAAACAGATAGAACATATTAGTTGAATGGTATTGAAACCGCGATAGCCGACCCGTTGACGGTGAAGTGCTCAATAATAATCCAAAACCGACGCATTCTCACTGAATCGGATCGATTCGGGCCATATCGAATCGAAAATACACAGCAGTAATGGTCCTATTCATTGTTAGTGCTTCGCCAGTGAGAATGTTTCGTCATGGACAACTTGCCAGAACTACAGCCAAAAAATAATGGTAATAAAAAATATAACAGTTAGGTGACGTTATCGTCAAGCCGATTCTTAGATAGAAGAGGTTTAGGAACGAATTGAATACACATACAGCAACCTGGAAATGGGAGCAATTCCTCGACGTCCGTAGTCGGGCAGATTTGGCGATTTCGAAATCACTGCCTGTATGTGTGATCAGGCCGTTGCTTGAACAATGCGCAATCATAGCCCCACAGCAGCTACACGGGGGGCAAAACTGTGTATCGGGACGATGAACAGAACTGGAACCTCATACGAAGAAAAGCTTCTACAGAACAGCTGGGAAAGTATGACATCAAGAGCCAAATGAGGGGCATCAGAATTGCCTAGTGGTCACGTTCGACTACAAAAAACACTTTCTGTTCTCCGAACATTTCCCCACATAAATTCACGAATATGAATCGTTCGACTACATCACAATCTATTGATTTTGCCTTATTGAACGTCACATTTATAGGAGAGCTTCACTCCGCTCACAGTTTCCTTCAATACCTCAAAATTCATTCTCATTGACATGATAATGATCAATCTTCGGTTTTGTTGGGTTGACACGTCGCTCAGTTGAAGGGGTTAGCACCCGATTTCTACTTTTATAGTACAAAAAAGTTGCTCGTTCACTTTTTCCCGTGATAAGGAGGTCGCCCTAGGGCCAACCGCCTTACCAATTTCGAAATTTTTAGACGTTTGGAAAATCTGATGTTTGGTAAAGCCCATCGCTGTGCTTGGCTCCATCTGATACAACCCAGACCCCACCCCTTAGAGCCACGAGTCGGAATTGGGTCCCAAAAGCCAGTTCCTTCTAGAGTGAGAAGAGGGGTCCCAAGGGGGCACGACACTGTCGCGACTCAAAAGTGCGAGGCAACGGCGCTAAGGCCTTGCCTTGTGTGCTGCCGTGCTGCCAGCGTTATCAACCACGGCATACGTGGTCTCTGCGCCCTCTCGCGTACGACGTACTATCTCGCGTTCTCCCTCTCCTCGCAGCGCTGTGTCTCTCCGTCATACCACGGCCGGCCTCTAAGGGAAATTTTAGTGTTTTCTATGGTGCTTTTTGCTTTTTCTCCTCACTAATGTTCCTCATTGCACTCCTTGCCTAATTTTCAAACAAAATAACACATCAATTCAATCCCGACTCGTGCCTTTAAAACTGCAGAATTCTTTTAGGGGTACGAGTCAATTGCTAAGCAAAAGAAAAGTTAAGCTTCAAAATTTCAGCTTCAAAAGTTTTATAGTATTTTTTTCAGAGGACGGAAAATTCAGAAGCAAATTTCATAAAAAGTTCCCGTTCTGCTTTTGATAGGAGTGTCAACCCTAGAACAAGTGTTTTGTATTTAAATTTTCGATTCCACCCTATTTGTGAGCGTTTAATATCTCTAGCTTGGCCACACGTAAATACACGCGCCCTCTGCTTCAGAAAAGGGTAGGATAATAGATAGAGACAATTTTTTTCGTTTTATCAGATTCATTTTTCAAACAGATTGCGCTTCACTGTGAGTAGGAAACATGCGCCATAATCGTAGCGTGCTCCTCGATCTCGTACACAAGCCTTTTGACATGACAAAAACTCATCCACTGGGCGCGAGGTCAGCTTTGGCGCAGACCATTTGGAAAGATCAATCAAATAATTAATATTTTCTTGGATGACGCTGGTTTGTCGCAAAAGTCGATCTCTTAGGTAAGAACAAAAATATAAACTGGAGTCAAAAATATGGATGCGGAACAGAGCATTACAAGCAGGAGGGACTCCGCCCCCCACCTGCGCAGCGCGAACAACGCTAATCCTGAAAACGAGCATCTCTGATCTCAACACTTGACTCTGGGTTGGTTTGTAACCAGCAAATCTATAATTCATATTCTCTGACCTAGGAGCGTGCTCTTGCTGAATTAGAACTAATCTAGAACTATTTTTACAAACCATACCATGGGAGTTGCATACAACGAGGTCATGACATTTCCTCTCATATTAGCTTTTTACATGTTAAAGCATCGCTACTCTGCCCATCAAGTGAATTCAATTCCACGGCTCCAATCTGTGTCTGTGTCAGCTCTCTTCCGGTCTGTCTGTTCAAGTCTCGTTGATGGCTTACATCACGTTACCATGACCTTGCAACTCAAAACCCAGCTCCAATCCTCTCATATTAAACAGCTAAGACTGCTCGAATTCTCGAAGTGGAGCCTTACTTTAATTCGAGGGCTCTGACTTTATCGCTAGCCCTCCAGAACTCTGGCAGAGAAGGAATTCGCGAACGCGCCCATACTCATACTGCTTTAAAGAGTGCACTATATTATCTGCGTTGAAGAAAGGCTAATGTGCTTAGTGGTAAGAAATTCTATGCCTCACAGGAAGTAAAATGTGGTACTCTTGAGGGCAAAATGCACGTCCTTTGCGGCCAGGCAAGGTTTCAACTGCCTTTTTGGATATCGTCCTCTTCTCGCCCACCGTACCTGGTCGCTGAAAACTAAACATTTTGACAGAGTGGAGTAGTATTCAGGCCGATGACGTAAGCACCGACATGATCTGCCCAAAGCGGCGAAACTTGTGAACTGAACTTGTAAACAAACTTGTAAACAACTTGCTTTGGAGAATTTGGGACGTTTCGCTTGCCTTTTTCTTCTTCATAACTTTGCCCTTTACCAGCACTTCCCTTCATTTCCATCATCCCCCAACTTTTGTGCCATGTGTCTTTAACACATTTAGTGGAAACAGACGTATAGTATTCCTCTTCCCAAGCAGAAACATCGGATCACATGGCCAGATTTTCTGCTTGCAAAGCGTATTTCACAAAGGTTTTGATTGTCTCATAAACAATAATGAAGGACAAAAAAGTAAGCATTCGGCGTTGGTCAGTCCTGTTCTGGAAGCCGCCACGCATTCTACTCGTATTCAAAACCGGTGGCAAGTTGCATGCGATTTTACCCACATCATGACTTGTAGCCAGCCGATGTACAAATAAGTGCTGTTATCATCAGAACAAGTCTACTACCAATTATATGAATCTTCTTGGAAAACTATGATTCTATCACACCCATAAATCACTGGCTTGAGACCCATCGTTCACGATAAGAACGAAAAGAACAAAAAATTGCTTGTTTTGGTAAACAATTCGAAAAACGGAAGGACTGCTACGCGTTCAAATTCCCGCCGGACATCTGTCACAAATGCTGGCGGCGGGAACGCTTCCACTTGGTTCACGGAGTGCTGTCACTAGAAACTCTTTTGACCTTTTGACTTATTGCACTAACATCTCACACTTCTACTGCATCCTATTCTATCGATCGATTTGTCTCTATTCTCCAAAATCGCACGCTTTAACCCGATTCTTTCATTGCGTCGCCTGATACGTAGCCGAAAGGCGCACTTCTTTCCATGCCCCGCCTTTGGCTCCGCGCTTACCTTCGACTGTCCATAGAGTGTGGTTTTTGTAAGTTTGTTTCTCTTCGGAAAAATCTTGTGCGTGAAACTTTGTATGTTGTCTCTAGTGATCACAACTGACATATTCATGTTAGGAAAGAAAACAAGAATTTCCCGGAAAGATTCCTTTCATCCGCCGCGGAGGGGTGAAAAGCTTGCTTGGCCTGGACAGTGCACGAGCCAGGATTTGATATCTGACCTCGCGCGTGGTGAGCATTCGAATGCTTCGGATGCATACTGTATACGAACGGAAACTTGCGGAGGAGTCCACGTATCCAGAGGAAGGGGTTATATTTGTTTTTGGAGGGAGGGGTGAAAGGTAGTCTTCTGTCCCACCAGTGTTACATTTCTGGGAGCAATGGATAGGAAAAGTGTTTTTCAGGAAACATGTGTGACATCTGGAGATATCCACAAACTATACTGTTTACTGTTGCATTGTAACTGATCACTGGCCATTTCGAAGAAGTTCTTAGAGAAATCGGTAACTGAAGTAGATAGTTACAGTAACGGTCAAGAACCTTTACTGAAGCGGTTTTTCGTACACTGTTTTCGCTCAACTAACCATTTCGTTTCAAATTGACATTTTGTGTCTATTAGTCTTTCTGAATTACTGAGGTATAGAAGTTTGAAGCATTCAAAAGAAAAATCCGAAGTTAATAAATTCGTGGAACTTTTCGCCAGAAAGAAATTGCAAGCGAACCGGGTGGACCTCCTGGTCAGCATCTCTGATGGTTCGTTCTGCTTCCTCCAAGACATAGCTTCACCCTGTTGAATGATTCTTGTGGGTTGAAATAGTGTTTGGACGGGTAGCTCCCTAAATGGCTTTCGTCTTTTCCAGACTCTAAAGAAAGAAGGGGAAACCACCGAAAGTCGGCCAAATAAAATTTTGTCAATCTTGTTGGAGCAGTCGTGACAAAACTCATCCATGACGAAAAAGGATTCAATGCAAAAAGGGCACGTGCGGAACACGGAGACTAAACTACTCTTTGAATCCCACCCCCTGAATAAAATTTTAAATAAGTTTTGAATAAAGCACACATAACAACATAGAGATCGGAAAACAAAAACAAAAACAGTTTTAATTTTACAAATACTGTTTAATTTCACAAATAGAACAGTTTAGTCATATATAAAACCATTAATTTTATTGAACACTACTGCATAAAACATTTCGGTGAGACTTTACTGCTACTATACTTATCACTGAAAGATAAGGGAAGAGGAAACGAGATCATGGAGGGATTCTATCAGGGGTAGTGGGTGGAAGGCAGTACTGCTGACCCCGCCTGATGCCTAACTACCCTTACGGATACGGTATATGTTGACTTCCGGTGGTATCCGGTGTTATGCTCATACACGCGTCATCGACATTGTGTTCTTGCAAACGCTGTCAAGCACCTCTCACCTGGTCGTATTCATTGTCGGTCACATCAAACGACGCAACAATCATTGTCTCTAACCGTAGCTGTTGCGCAATGTGCGCATCATTATTCAAACAAGCAGACCTCGTAATTTACCCTATTAAAACGTCATCACCTTTATACTTCCGCTCTCAGTGACTCCGCTCACCTACAAAGGCCAACGAAAATATAGCACAATTCTTCCAATCGTGGACTAGGATGAATGGTCAACTTTCCGTTCAGGCGTTTATTTGTCTTTACTCGACGATATCTAAAGGATCTCGCCATGTTCAACTCTTGATGATCCATGGCACATTGGTGATGAGTAGGTACTGCGTTCTTGGGCAAGCAAAATTGTTATTAACCAAAAAAACTTATAAATAGAATTGAAATTTTATGGGATTTTTTTGGATTTTTTAGTTTATAAACTTCGGTACCTCTGAAAAAAGAGAGAACTCGTAGAATTGTTAGCTAATGAAGTGCTAGTAATCAGCTCACCTGCAATTTCCACAAAGCAGTACCTACTCAAAAGGTTTTATCTTCAAAAGAACATATTACAAAGCGCCTAACGTTGTTCAGTCCTTCCCTGAAGTTCGCCGTGCGTCAAGATCCATTTAGAATCGCAGTGATGTCTGAGCTCCACTCGATATAAAATTTAGTTCTTCTATCTATCAAAGATTTTGATGATTGAAAGATGGCAGGTTTGGTTGGAGATGATGAGATTCCAGTCGGGATATGATCATCAACTATTCGTATATTGAGCGCCACCATTTGTAACTGTCAAACCCTTTTACTCATGCTAAAAACGAAAAATGTGAAAAGTAGCTGGTCTGGAATAATCGTCACTTAACTGAACTATGGTCGCAGTAGCTGAGTTCTTTGTAGCGTACTTGAATTG